ATCTAAAAAAAAAAAAAAATCTATTAAATGCCAGACATTGTTCTAGGATCATTGGGGAGGATAAAACAAAGTCCCTACCCTCGTGGAACTTACATTCTACTGGGGAAGACAGACAATAAACAGCAGTGTAATATGTAAGTCACTTGTATTGACAATCACATTATAATATACTCAGTGAAAAATAGAGCAGGATAAGGTAAATTTGGAGTGCCACTGGGAAAGGGGCACTGCATTTAAAATAAGTTGCTCAAAGGAGGCCTTACAGAGGTGAGATTTGAGCAAAAGACTGAAGGAAATGAAGGAATTAGTAATAGGGCTGTCAGGAGGAAGGGTACTCCAGGAAGAGGGAATTGCCTGTGCAAAGACCCTGAGGTGGGAGAGTGTCTGGCACATACAAGGGGATAGTAAGGAGGCCAGGATGGCAGGAATCGAGTGCACTAGGAGGAGGGTAGTAGGAGAGAAGGTGGAGAGGTCATGGATGCCAGACCATGTAGATTTCTAGGCCACTGTAAAGGTTTTTTTCTCCAACTCAGGGTTTCTCAACCATGACATACTGCCATTTGACCAGGTAACCGTTTGGGGGCTGTCCTATACGTTGCAGGATATTTAGCAGCATCCCTGGCCTCTACCCATTAGATGCCAATGGCACCCTCCCTCCAACTGGGACAACCAAAAATGTCTCCAGATGCCACAGATGTCCCCGGGAAAGGGGAATCACCTCTGACTGGAAACCACTGCTCTAAGCGAAATCTGGACACAGTGGAGTTTCGGCAGCAGAGGAGGGACACCACCTGATTTATATTTTTGAAAGATCACTCAGGCTGCCCTACTGGAAATCAACTGGGATAGGAAGCAAGAAAGCAGCAGGGAAGATCGTTCAGGATAATCCAGGGGCTTGGAACAAAACATGTCATGGCAGAAGTGGTGAGAAGTGGTTCGGCATTGGCTCTATCTTGGAGAATGCCTGTAAGACCTGAAAGAAAGGAGTAAAGGATGGCTAGAAGATTCTTGGCCTAGTGAAGAATGGAGTTGCCATGAACTGAGATGAGGACTGCACTGTGCAGCCAGGTTCTGGGTGGGACATCCGTAGGTCAGATTTGGGCACGAGAGTGTGAAATGAAATTCCAGTAACCCAAGTGAGACGATATGAAGCACTGAACCAAAGGGTGACAGTAGTGATGCACCAACGTTCTTCGTATTCAAGAGATGGTCATTTTGGTAAAAAACATAGGATTTGGCACTCAACTGGAGGAGAGAGAAGGGAAGTAGTTGTTGAAGACTACCCCGTGATTTCATGGCTGGATGATGCTGGTGGTAGAATGAGGATGAACGCCTGAAGAGAGAAACAAGCTGGCAAAAGGAACAGGTGGGAAAGGCAAGAGGACAGAGTCTTCCTGCCAATCCTATGGATTTGAGGTATAAGGGGAGGGCGAGAGAAAAAGTCTAGCAGAGAGTTTCCAGGGTAGCTATGGTGCTCAGCAAAGGTCATGGGGCTAGAGAAATTTTTGTTTTCAAAATATTCAAAAATAGTGCAGCTCTTTACCAAGACCCAGAAGGGAGGGTGGATGTGGCGAACTTTGGTTCACTGTAAACTCCAAAGCAAGGTGAGAACAATGACAGTTCTCAGGGACGTGCAGGGCCAGGTTATGGGTAGGGTGTGGAGCAGCTCCTCTTACCAGAGATACCAGACTTCTCTCCTCCATATTCCAGAAGACTTTTCAGCAGAAAGGATATGGCCAGATTCACAGTAAGGGACGGAAGGAAAACAGAAAATACTGTGACTTTCAGGGACTGACAGAAAATTAATTCCACCCAAATTTAGCTGTACACATCTTTGTCATCGTTTGGTATTTTTCAAGCTTTCTCAGCAAAAATAAATGAGAAGGAACTGCAGTGATAATAACGAGCTTCCGGCAGCTTCCAAACAGTAGCTTTTAACTCATACCACAAAGAATCAGAGCCAGCAAAACGCCCATGTTTTGCGGGTTCTTTCCCTCCAGATCTGGGGTAGAGCACAAATGAAAAAGGAGACAACTTAGTAGAGAAAACTCAGATACATGAGTTTTGCTGCTCATGTATCAGAGCTATGCTGCTGAGCCCCTGCTCTCTGGGGGTGGTTATGAATCTGTCCATAGCTTTTGGCATGGTCGGCGGGGGGGAAGAGCCACAGTGCAGATCTGAGTCTCAGCCTGCTACGCCTCGGTTTCTGGAACTGCAATTTCCCTACCTCCTAAAGTCTCTGAGACAGCTATTCTAACGTTACATGGACAAAACCCTAAAGAAATGTAGCTGTCTCATGACCCTCAAAGTGAAGTAACAGGGTTAGAAAAGGGAAAAAGCGATTCTCTGCCTCCTCTTCTCCGTTCTACAGAGAAGCCCGGCCGGGACTGCGGCCACCCTCGCGGAACCGACAGCTTGTCCCAGCTCCACGTGGGCTACGCGTACCCGCTACTCCTCATGCTCTAGTCGCCGCCCGACCTTACCCGAACGTTTCCCTGAACGCGGACCCTTTCACTCTGTACCGGGTAGAGACTCATGCGCGCGGCCATTTTGGCTACGTCGCATTACGTCTCGCCACGCCTTTCATGCCGGGTACGTCATCTCGCTTAATCACGTCACGTCCCCTTCGCCCCAGCCCAAGTCTCCGACAAAGCAGGGTAACTCCCACCTTGGGCTCGCTCACCGCGTCGGAGCCCGAACTCTCTCCATCCACCTAGAGCCTGGGTCTGCACTGGTTCTCTGTCCTGGCTACACTTCTGCTGCCGTCGCTCCAGGGCTGCAGCCGCGACCACGCGCCTGCGCACTAACTTGGCCGCGCCTCTGCCTTCTGCCTGGGTCGCCCCTCCTTCGAACTGGACTTTGTCACGCCCTCACGGATGTGTCACGCCCTCGCGCTCCGCCTATACCACGGACCTTCTTCCTGTTACGTAGTTTGTGTCCCGTATGCGATTTCCCTGGCCCCGCCTTTCCACCGATCTTGTTCACGTGCGTGTTATCCCCTGAATCACGCTCGTTCCTCTGACACCACGTTCTCTCCCTTGGGCCCACATCCCTCCTTTCCACTTGGTAATTCCTCTGTCCTTCGCCGGAGCTCACCTTTTCCGCGGACTCGACCAGCTTTGTCGCGCCTTCGTAGCGGCCACGCCACGCCCTTCACGCACTACGTCCAGCTTTCTCAGGTGACGCCCCTTCCCACCTAGAACGTAGCCCACGCTCCTTCCCACGGTGTCCATGCCCCGCCCCCCACGGCGCGTCACGTTCCTTTCTTGCTTTCCACGGTCCTACGTCATGGCCAATCCCAGCGCCCCACGGCACGACCCTACGATCCACATTGGCCACGCTCGTGCCGGTTTGCGCGTTTTCTGGCGTTGCGTCATGGCCGCTCCCTGGGTTCTCAGGACTCCCACTTCTGGGTCCGCTCTCACCAGTCCACGCATCCTGCCCTCCCTCTGCTGGCGGAACTCGGTCGGGGGAAGCTGTTCAGGAGCGGGCGGGGCTCTTGTGTTTCCGGAGAAAACAGCCTACGCCTCAGAGCTAGACGTCAGTGGCTTTTATAAAGTGAAAGAAGTCTTTGGATCCCTAATCCTCGTCTGAAAATAATCTTTCTTCCTATTTCCTCCCAGCTCCAACCGGGTAGGAAACATAACTGGGCACTGACTGGAACGGTGTTCTTACCAGCCCTTTAACCAACCTTAAATGCTAGGCAGATGCACGGAGTAGTAAGCACATTCTTCTATCTCCTGGCATCTTCAGAAGACTTTTTCTAAGCGCATAGTGCCTTCCTGCTATCTAGAGCCTGTCGGGACAGCACAACACTTATACCCCTGTAGACCCCCTGCTCTGGGATTAAAGTAAAGAGGTTTACTCCCTCCATTTTACAATTCTGCGTCCACAAGAAAAAAGTGAAAGGGTTACCGCCTTTTTTTTTTTCTTCCTGTCCAGAAATCTCTGAATGGGGCACTTACCGTTAGCCTTTCAGTTATGCATTCATTTAAATTGTGTTTATGGAGTACTAAGTTCCAGTGTCAAGACATGTCTCAAGGGACTTACAGTCTGAAGTTTTCCAAGCTGGGTTTGGATGATACAAGAATTGAAGAGAAAATTAAGATGTGGTAAGGGGGTTGGAATAGGTAGAAAAGGGCTTGTTAAGTGCTGGTCTCTTTTTTTAGTTGAGGTATAACTGACACATAACATTATGTTAGTTTCAAGTATACAACATAATGATTTCGTATTTGCGTATATTGTGAAATGGTCACAAGAACTATCCGACCCCATACTTAGCTGTAATTTTTTTCCGGTGATGAGAACTTTTAAGATTTACTCTTAGCAAATTTCAAATATGCAATACAGTATTATTAGTTATGGTTGCCATTCGGTACATTACAGCCAATGACTGACTGACTTTATAACTGGAAGTTTGTACCTTTTGGCCATTTTCACCCATTTTGCCCTTCTCCCATTCTCTGCCTTTGGCAACCAACAATCTGTTATCTGTATGAGTTCAGTTTTTTGTTTTTGTTTGTTTTTTTAGATTTCATATGTAAGTGAGATCTTATGGTTTTTGTCTTTGTCCGTCTGATTTATTTCACTTAGCATAGTGCCCTTGAGTTCCATCCATTTGTTTAGTTTTTTTGTTTGTTTTTGAAAAGCAGGTTTTCTTGATCTTTAGCCCCAAGGGAAATCTTGATTGCTCGTCTTGATGGCACTGGGAATTAAGTAGGAGACAAGTGCCAAAAGGACTTTTATATAGATCTCCTCGATGTATGCTGTTGCCGGCAATCACAAAGTATTGAATCAACCCTATAAGCTACCCAAACTTTTCTGTTCATTTGAAATTACAGGCACTCAGTGGTATGGCTTTATTCAGGGCAGCATTTATTTTATTATTGTTTTCAATTATATGACAGAGAGCAAGAGCACAAGCCGGAGGAGTAGCAGAGTGGGGGAGAGAAACAGACTCCCCTCTGAGCAGGGAGCCCGCTGTGGGGCTCAATGAGATCCGACCGGAGCAGAAGGCAGGCACTTAACCATCTGAGCTACCTAGGCGCCCCCGTTCAAGGCAGCATCTAGATCATCATTCTCTACGATGGCAAGTAAGTTTCAACTTGTCAATTGACTGAATAACTATTGGGAAGCTTTATGGTTGAGTCCACACTCAAAAGGAAAAAGTTCTGTAGTCGATTAACAATGTTTGTTGCGGGTGCAGTATGAATGAGTGGCTGGAACAACCTATAGGGCATCTCTGATTTGCAGTGATAAAGGTATTGCGCGCTTGTCTTTACAAACAGCAGTTCTCACCAACAGCAGTTCTTACTACAAGCTGTTGACAATTTCCAGGCAGTAGAAGGGTCAGTATCATTGTTGCTGGTCAGAACTTAAGGGCAGAAACTTTGATATGTTGATTAATTCATATGCTTTGTATATCCATTAGAATGAGTGTAGTTAAAGATTCTGGTATGAAAATGAGAGCATCTAACCTGAAAGGTACAAGGCCCAATGGCCCCTCCATCTTTTTATATAGGTTGGCAAAAGAAGTACCTATACTCAGGGCTAAATGTGACTGGGTGACACTGTTTGCCAAATAGAAGGTGAAAAATACTGCTCCGTAGAGCATGGCCGTAATAATTTTGAAAAAAAAATTATAACTTGCCTACACCATGAGAATACTCTTAATATAACACCCAAACAATATTGGAAAGAGTTAGAGGAAGAAATGTCGGTAAGAGCTTGCTTTTACTATCTGAGACTCATTTTAATGCATTGGTCTTCATGCAGGAGATGAGGCACACAAGCATTCCATTTAAGAAACATATGGAGCACTGGGTGTGGTGCATACACAGTGAACTCTGGAACACTGAAAAGAAATTAAAAACATAAGTAAAAATTAAAAAAAAGAAACTGTCCTTAAAATTCTTTTTTTTAAAAGATTTTATTTATTTATTTGACAGAGATCACAAGTAGGCAGAGAGGCAGGCAGAGAGAGAGGGGGAAGCAGGCTCCCTGCTGAGCAGAGAGCCCGATGCGCGGGGCTCGATCCCAGGACCCTAAGGTCATGACCTGAGCCAAAGGCAGAAGCTCAACCCACTGAGCCACCCAGGTGCCCCTTAAAATTCTTAATTTAAGAATATAAAGTACCCTAAAGATACAAATGTAGTGATCCGAAGAGGCACGTGCACCCAGATGTTTATAGCAGCAATGTCTACAATAGCCAAACTATGGAAAGAACCTAGATGTCCATCAACAGATGAATGGATAAAGAAGATGTGAGATATATATATATATATAGAGAGAGAGAGAGAGAGAGAGAGAGAGAAAGAGAGAGGAATATTATGCAGCCATCAAACCCCCCCCGAAATCTTGCCATTTGCAACCATGTGGATGGAACTAGAGGGTATTATGCTAAGGGAAATAAGACAGTCATAGAAAGATAATTATCATATGATCTCCCTGATAGGAGGAATCAGAAACAAGGCAGAGGATCATAGGGGAAGGGAGGGAGAAATGAAACAAGATGAACCCAGAGAGGGAGAGAAACTGTAAGAGACTCTTAATCTCAGGAAACAAACTGAGGGTTGCTGGAGGGGAGGAGGGTGGGAGGGATGAGGTGGCTGGGAGATGGACATTGGGGAGGGTATATGCTGTGAGTTGTGTAAGACTGATGAATCACAGACTTGTACCCCTGAGACAAGTAATATATGTTAATTAAAAAAACAAAGTTGGCAGAATTACACTCAACTCAGCTTGTCTAAATTAATCTTTATTTCTAAGCAGTAGTGATTAACTTTCTCTGAACTAGAAAAATGTTACGCTGTGGATAAAAAGACTAAGCTCGTAATGGTTATGGCTGTTGATTAACCTACAAAATCTGATGAACCTTCCAAATACTGTGGCTTCAGATTTCTTTTCATCTCAAAAAGGGCAGAGGTGTGGAAGTGGAGACAAACGTATCCCAAAGCCCAGCGTTCCTTATTTAGCAGATACTAGAAGTTTTCTCTGACTAGGAATGTAAAAAAAAAAAAAAATTGCAGTGCGCCTCATGGTTTATATCTGCATTCTTGACCTTCTTCAAATGTCAGTTTATGATTCAAATAAGTTAATTCAGTTCTATTAAGTTATTAATACATGGGCCATGAGAAATGCAAAATTAAACTAAATATAGTCCTTGTTCTCCAGAAACTTAAAATTTGTAGGACACGAAAGTAAATCATGTTGGCAATAGATGCACGTTCAAATGGGAGCAAATGCTGTGGGAACCTAGGAGAAGAAGAGAAAAAAGTTAGTGGACTGGACAAGTGTAAAACAAATAATAACAAAAACCTATAACAAAAACAAAAGACAGCTTTCTCTCTGTGTCTCTTTTTAAAATATTTTATTTTATTTATTTGTCAGCACAAGCAGGGGGGAGCAGCAGGCTCCCCGCTTGATCAGGGAGCCAGATGTGGGGCTTGATCCCAGTCCCCGGACCGTCAGGACCCGAGCTGTAGGCAGATGCTTAACCCCCCCAGGCGTCCCAAAACAAAGGTTTCTCAAAGGAGATGAGGTAGACCTGGAACATGGCTAAGAAGTTTAAAGGTAAAAAATGAAAATTCACTGTATTGAACTTAAGAAAGCAGTGTGGAAAGAAGCACACACAAAGGACAGAGGTGGGATGAGGCCCGCTTGCATGCTGATGAACTTTAAAAAGCACCTTGCATGCATCAAAAGAATGACATACGTGGGTTTTTTGTGTGATCTCATATTTACCCTCCAGAGCGATAGATCAATAGTTAAGTACTGAGAAACTGCTTTTCAATAGTGTTGTAGAGCAGGAAAAAACATGGAGAAATCAATTTCTTTTTCCTGTCTCAGGAGACTCGGTGCCTTCTGTATTGCTCATGGCAGCAGTAATCTCAACTTTTTATCTTTGTTCTCTAAACTCCCGACGTTGAGAGTAAATAGTAACGTATTCAGAACGATTGAAACTGCTTTATTTGTCATCATTACCACTGTTACTGGTAAATTCTGGACCTCCTGTGTGTGAAATTGCAGAGATGAGCTTTGTATGAAGCAAGTTTGGTATGAATTCTCTGGAGGTTTCATTTAATTTAGTTTAATTTAATTCTCTGGAGGTTCAAATTCTGTGTGAAAATAAAGAGCAAGTTTGTGCAAGATTTTTATAAGTGGAAGAAAAAACCCCAGTATGTTAAGAGGCAAGAACAACTTTAATAAGTTTTAGCATGTTCTAAGGGACCCATACCTTGTAAGAATTTTCATGTTTTAAATTGAGCTATTGACAGTGTCTTGTTTTACCATTATACCTTTTCTGTTCACCTGACAGGACCATAAAAGTTGATATTTTTCATGATTGTCTTTTGGGCTGCTACCAATTTTACTACTGTCAAATACTTTTCTAAGCAAACACTGGGATATAGAAAAATTGAAACTATAATTACAGACTCTTTAGAAAATAAGTATGAGCTCACTGTACATCTATACTTCTTATGTCATGTGGCCAAAACAATACACCAAGGAAAATTCATAGCCACAGATATTTTCATTATTAACCGAGAAAGACTAAAAATGCATAAGCCTATTTGTCATCCCAAGAGTTATAAGAAGAACAAGAAAACCAGCATGGTGACAACAGGAGTAAGGACTTAATAAAAAAAAAATAAGATCGATGACTCAGAAAGCACAAAAAAAGACTTGAAAATTAAATTTGAAATCTTGTTCTTTGATTAAGTGACAACAAAACTAGACAAATCTCTGTCGAGAATAATGGAAAATGAGAAAAATCTAATATGTATACTAGAACGTGCAAAGGGAATATAGCAATGAATGTAGATATTTGATGGGAAATACTGTATAAAGTCCATGAGAATACCGGAAATCTTGGAGGAAATAATGACTTTCTTAGAAATTATAAACAGCTAGAATGGACTCAGTGAAACATGAAACTTGCAGTAAATGACAGTGTAAGAAATGGAAGTTATCAAAGAGCTCTTCCCCTAAAATGTGTATGAACCAGATTTTTCAACTCTGCATTTCTTCTGCGATTTTCTTTGGCATTTTAAAGTATTTGTAAACATAGAGGGTATTAGAAATCTTTGTACACCATTTTCAAGATGATAATGTAAGGGCTAGAAAAAAAATTTCAGGAATCAAGCACTTGAAAAGGAACCTAAATGATATTCTTCTACAAAAATAGGTTTAAAAACCTAAGGAAAAACACAGCAGTTAAGTCCAGGAGTATCTTCAAACTGAGCTTATCTAAGGGTTGCATCAACGTAAAGGAATTTATTAGTAAAACGCACCAAATGGTAAGATCTCTAGGATCATATTAATAGATGTTGGAAGAGCAGCTGATGAAATTCAACATGATCTCTGGATAAAAAGAATTTTTAGTAAAAGGAGACTTTTTATCTCACTACACATCAGATTTAAAAGTGGCCCACCAGATCCAGCCGAAGAGCTGCACTCACAGTAGAATAAGGAAGAGAACAAGGGTCCATGTTATTCCACCATTACGATTCTGATAGTGCTGCTATAATGAGGCAAAACAAGAGCTTCACACAAGAAGATCCAAGGCTAAGGCAGGTATGTTTCCACTCTCAAAATATATTAGCATTGGTCATTCATGCTGGTGATGTTACAGGTATTTTGTATTTTTCTCTTTTGGCTTTTCTGTATTTTCTATACAGAACTTCTGTTGCTATTTTTTCCTGCCTTTTTTTTTTTTACCTCTGTCATTTTTCAAATGAGACAACAAACATCACTGAAGTATAGAATAGTGAAAGCGAAGTACAGCACAGGGAATGTAGTCAGTAAAATTGTAGTAAGTGTGTGGTGACAGATGGCAACTACACTTACCATGGTGAGCGTTTTGTGATGTATATAAATGTTGAGTCACCCTTTGGTACACCTGAAATTCACATAATGTCGTATGTCAATTCTGTTTTAGTAAGGATAATTTTTTCAAAATCATGTTTATATTAAGCACTACTAGAGTGCCTGGCACATAGAAATTGTTTAATAAATGGTGAATTTTATTTTGAAAAAGAGAGAAATCATAATTCAAAAGGGAAGAAACTTTCCTTGTTTTTCAAAGAATGACTTAACTCTAATTCAGCATTTTCCTGTCTGCTGTCCTAGTCACATATGTGATTAAGAGCAAAAGAGAAACGTTTGATACTTTTGGGAAGTTTAAGACTCAAGGAAGGCTGAATCAGATTCGTCTCTAACATAGCTTTGTTCCCTGATGCAAATAATTAGCTTCGTTATAATCTCCATCTACTGGCTTTTCCTTCCCATGTTGACTTAAACTAGTCTAACATTTCCCCAGATAACTTCATCTAGACTGACTTTCTTTTCAGGACTAAGTTATGTGAGCTCTCCCTTCTAGGAAATTTCCATTTACCTAATAGTGAAATTGCTAGAATGACGGGCCTAACTTTTGGCGTCCTCTCCCTCTGATCCAGCCTTTCCTGACTCTGTGCCCTTGCGACCAAGGTGAGGGAGAAGAGAGAAGCTTTCTCAGGTGGAGTCACCAAGCAGAAATGGGTCATCTGTGGTAAAACATCACCCTGCCCAGGACGGGGAAATGACAGGACTCTCGGAGTGCTGCGGGAGTGTAGCTGTTGATCTCTCTCTCATGGTGGCTTTGAAAATCCACGTTTTGTATTTAACATCAGGGTCACCCAGTCTTATTTTTCCTTTCATGGTTTTCAAGCAATGACGTGGAATCTGGGGACTGACTTCATGAAGGGGCAGCATGGTAGAGAGGAAGGCCCTGACATCAACCTGCCGGGGTGGCTTCTGTTGACATTCATGAATGCCCGGTAGGGGAGACTCTCTTCCACTCATTATGGTAATCCCGAGAGCATCTCTGAGGCTTTGTTGCAATTTCAGGTCTGTTTGTTTGTTTGTTTTTTAAAGATTTTACTTATTTATTTGAGAGAGAGCGAGCACAGAGGGAGAGGGAGAAGCAGACTGCCCACTGAGCAGAGAGCAGATGCGGGCCTCCATCCCAGGCCCCTGAGATCATGACTTGAGCCCAAGGCAGACGCTTAACTGACAGAAACCCCCGGGTGCCCCTGTTGCCTTTTCGGTTTTGACCAAGGCTGACCAGTGAAGGCCCAGGGCAGGTCAGTGTGGCGCAGGCGGGATTCAGGTGACACCCACTCCCTCCTCCCATTGCCACCGCAGCCTCGAACACCAGATCTCGGTTCCCTCGCGTGTGGGATGACTCCAGCAACAGCGACTGGGAGGTGCTGTTTTGAGGATGAGAGAATCCAGCAAACCTAGTTCATGGCGGGAAGCTCTTAATGACTGTTCTCTGGTGCTCTGACCAATGCGGTTGCTAGTCACATATTTCTACATAAATTAAATTAATAGAAAATTGAGTTTCTCCGCAGCCCAGCCCCATTCCAGGTGGATCCTACGTGTGATGGCGACCGTGTTGGATAGTGCACATATAGAACATTGCCGTCATCGCAGAATGTTCCACTGGACAGCACCGCTCTGTACCATTAACTTTGAATCTACACAACCGCCAGAACTTAGGGCTGACCAGAATGATTCCCTTCGAGGTGGGAGCTCTCCCCGGATGTTTACCTGTGGAGGTGAGAGTCAGGTGAGGCCATTCTTGGAAGGGTGTCTTTTGTTCCCCAGAGATAGAAAGGAGTGATGTTTGTTTTCCACATGAAGGGAGCTTATCAAGGACCGGCTATTTTAGCCCTGGAGAGGTGGAAAGGTGAGGCCGAGGAAACCATTCAGAGAGGGCTCGGGTCTTTCCATGGCGCTCAGCCGGGGGACAACAGAAGGGGCGGGGGCGGATTCCAACTCGAGTCAGCAGAGGAAGCAGCCGCTGGAGGTAGAGTTCAGAAAGGACAACTAATCTGTTTTCCAAACAGATTTTCGTAAATAACTGACAGGTGATGGGCTGCTTCTCTGTAAGTATTAACCCAAATAATGGGGTTTAATCATTAAACCTTCTAGGTGGCGGCTTGCTCATTTCTCTAATATTCTAATCCGGGTCACAGAATGGCTAAGGCAGCTTTAAGTGGAGGGTGGATTTTTTTCCCTCGGTTTGTCTTGTGTTTCGCACCCTGAAAGAATGTTGTGCCTGCTCTTTTTTCTGGTGACTGCTATTCACGCTGAACTGTGTCAACCAGGTATGTGGTCTTGAAACTTAAAAACAGGGTAACAGTTTTCTAAATGATTGACAAGTCTTCGACTGAATGACCTCTTTATTTTCCTAAATCCGCAGACGTATTGCGGCTTGAAAGTTGAGACTATGACTGTTTTATGAGTTTGAAGGAAAAATTGGAACGGGCTAAGGTGCTTGTAGTTAAACTTTCAGTTTCAGGGCAGTTTAACTGAAGATCTGTGTTCTGTTGATTTGAGTTGATTAAATGTTTGGACTTGATATTCTGGCAGATTTTGATCATCACACACTGCTCCCTTTTCTTTCTGGCAGATGCAGAAAATGCTTTTAAAGTAAGACTGAGTATCAGAACAGCTCTGGGAGATAAAGCAGTAAGTGAAGAACCTGCATGTTCATTTTTAATAACGCTACTTTCTCTAGTAATGAGCCTCTGTCTCGTATCTTAAACTCGTGTAGTTTGATCCTAAAGACCTCAAATCGGATATGGTCTTAAAGTTAAAAAATAGTAAAATGGAAATTGTTAAAAAATGATTTTGCCTCAAGTCTTTAATCTGCGGTGTGTGCTAGAAAATCTGTGAAGCTTTGTATGACACACAACAGTGTAGCAAACTGGAGCATCTCAGCCAGGGGGGGGGGGGGGGGGGGGGGGGGGGGGGGGGGGGCAGAGTCCTGAGGGCCCGAGTCTCGCACTCAGGTCTGGGCCGGCTCTGCACACCATTGCGGTCATTAGGATTTTGTCAGCCTCAGTCTTCTAGTCTGCGAAAAGGTGGCATTGTTCCCACATCAGATTTTTCATAGCATGAGAAGTTTCTAGTCTAACGTGAAGTTCCTCCAGTTCTTCTCCAATGTCAGAGTAACAACGTGAAATACATGTTTATGAAACTGAAGTTAAAAAACACTCGTGAGGCTCACATAGCTATAAGAACAATATGGTCTGTGGAATTAATGAGATGATTTGTGCAATTCTAGTTTGGGTATCCCCGTGTAGTCTGTGAAGACTTTCCCTTGTAGTAGGCGATAGTAAGATGCCTTGGGGTAGAAGCACTTGAAGAGTGCTAAGGAAGTTAGAGGTACGGATTCTGTTTGCAGGCCTATCTACCAACGGGTTATTTTATTCATTCGATGAATAAGGATCATTATAGTGCCCAGCATTTATTGAGAACTTAGTTTACTTTCCAGCAGAGACCCTTCTGAGCACTTGACTTACATCAGTTCCCGCAGCCCCCACAACAGCCCTTTGAGGAAGGTAGTACAGGCATGCCCGCCCTCATGGAGTAGAGGAGAAAACCAAGGTACAAAGAAATTAAGCAGCTTGCTCAGGAGCTCAGGTCAGCAAATGACAAAGAGGTGAGATTTGAACCAGGCTGTCTGACTGTAGAATCTACTCTCTCCACCAGTGTGTGGTTGTGTATCCCAGGGTGCTCCAAGGGTGGCCACCATGCTGGATGCCGGGGATGCAATGGCCGATAAATCAGGCTTGTCTCAGCTTTCGTGGAGCTCATGGTATCGGGAAGATTGGTTGCCCATGAAACATTCAGTAAACGAAATGGAAATGTGCAATCTTGACAAGTATTACAGGAAGGAGAAGTACCTGGGGACTTTGGCCTTGTCGGGGGCCTTAGTACTTGGCATTTGCTATGAAGTCTAAAGTCTGAGTGGAGGTGAGCCGGAGGATAAAAGAACACAGGGCAGAGGGAACAGAACATGCAAAGGCTTGTTACAGGAAGGAACGTAGTGAGAGTATGAGATGGACGGAAGGCTGAGGTCTCTGCACTGGAGCAGGACGGTAGAGCCTGGCATGTGCTGAGTTCGGGCAGAAAGCAGAGATCCAGCTGAAGAGTATGTGGACTGGGTTAGGAAGTTTTGAGATTATCTTTAAAGCCAACGTGAGTTTTCTGAAAGAGATGTTGTTATAGAATGAGTGCTTGGAAAACACTCTGGTCACAGTGTGGAAGGCAGATTGGAGGGGACAAGAGTAGAAAGGAGAAAGGGGGAGGGAGGAGTCAAGGGTGACGCTTTATTTATTTATTTTTAAAAAGATTTTATTTATTTATTTGACAGAGAGGGAGAGAGGGCACGGCATAAGCAGGGCTAGAGGCAGAGGGAGATGGAGAAGCAGGCTCCCTGCAGAGCAAGGGAAACCTGATATGGGACTCGATCCCAGGACTCTACAATCATGACCTGAGCCCAAGGCAGTGGCGTAACCACCTGAGCCACCCAGGCACCCAAGGATGATGCTTTAGTTTCTAATTATGCAGCTGAATGGATGATGACCTACTTATGAGCCAGGGAAGCAGGTACAGACAAGAAAATCATGGCTTTAATTTTGGACTTGTTGAGCGTGAGGTATTACTGAATAAGCAAGGACAGGGTGGGCTTGAGATATGGTGCTGGGTCGTTCACTTACGGTGATAATGGAAGCTTGGAGTAGATGACAGTGTGAGGGAGAAAGTACAGAGTGACAGAGGGGAAGCTCTAGCATAGAGTTTTGAGGTTCTCTGAAACCTGAAACCCTTATAGGAGAGTGTGAACCTACGCAGGGGACAAAGGGACAGGAGGAAAACCAGAATGTGTATCACAAAGGGGAAGAGAGTGCTTCAGGTTGGAGGAAGTGTTCAAGAGCATCAGATGCTGTTGACAGGTCAAGCAGGGTGGGACTGAAAGCCACTCATGTTGAGTCATGTGGAGGTCACTGGTAACTGTAGAGAGAGCCATCTTTGTGGAGTGGTGGAACTGGAAAGCAGGTAATGGAGGGAGCTGAGAATAAGTGGGTGGCAAACAGGTAAAAACGCAAGTATGACAACTCTTTTGAGGCTGTTGGCTGTGAAGGGCAGGAGACAGACAGCAGTAGATAGAGGAAGAAGGATTGAGGTCAGTGATTTGGTTTTGGTGGCATTTTAATGGGAAGGCTTGAGCGTGGCTAAAAGCCAGGGTCTCATGTACAGAGGAGAGGGGAAGCTGTACCCTTAGATCCTGAGAAGGGGGGAAGGGAAGTGTTCCTAATGCAAGTGGATGAAATACCATTGACAGGAGGAGAAACACCACATCGGCCTTCCGGGGGAGCATGTGGACAGCATATACGTCTACAGAGGGAGTTTTTTGTTTGGTGTCAGGAGGATGGGGGAGTTTAAGTTGATGACTTGAGGATGTATCTCTAAATTATGAGACAAGAGCATCTAGTGAGGGGCGCCTGGGTGGCTCAGGCAGTTAAGCCTCTACCTTTGGCTCCGGTCATGATCCTAGGGTCCTGGGATGGAGCCCCACATAGCATCAGGCTGCCTGCTTAGCGGGGAGCCTGCTTCTCCCTCTCCCTCTGCCTCTCCCCCTGCTCGTGCTCGCTCTCTCTCTCTCTCTCCCTCAAATAAATAAATCTAAAAAAAAGCATCTAGTGAGTATGAGGTTTGAGTTTGGTTGAGGTGGGGAGCTGAAAGAGGTTTGAAATAGCCGTCGTGAGCCATGGGAGAGAGAAAATGATGGAGACCTGAGGGATTCCCAGGCAATTGGGGACTATGTCATCATGAACTTAGAGTTAAACAACCCTGTTATGTGACTTTGTCCAGTTCCACGTGATTCCTCACCTAAGATATGTGGTCAGCCACATTAGTTTCCAGGGCTGCTGTCATAAAGTACCATGACTTGGGGGGCTTAAACAATAGAAATGTATTTTACCCTAGTTCTGGTGGCTGGCAGTCCAAGCTCAGAGTATCAGCAGGGCTGGTTCCTTCTGAGGTGTGTAAAGGAAAGATCTATTCCAGGCCTGTCGCTTTGGCTTGTAGATGACTGTCTTCTCTCTGTATCTTCACATTGTCTTCCCTCTATATGTGGCTGTGTCCAAGTTTCCTCTTCTTGGAAGGACACCAGTCCATATTGGATTAGGGTCTACCCTAATGACCTCATTTAAACTTAATCACCTCTGTAAAGACACTGTTTCCAAATACTGTTACATTGTAAGGTATTAGGGGTTAGGACTTCAACATAAATTGGTGGGGGGCACAATTCAGTCCATAATATGCACACACTCAAGTTTCCAGCTAAGAAAATGGAAAGAAAAATTGTACCTATGTTAGTAAAGGAAAGGCAACTGAGGAAAGAGAGTAAAGGAGGAAGGGAACCAACTGTATATGTCCAGAATACGATGTCCAAATGCACTATTTGTTGACTGGCTACTAACACTGCAGATCTTGAAGAAGATAATGCAATGGAAAGTGCACCACACTTGGAGTGACAGAATCTCCAAGAAAGTTCATCCTGAACATTATCATGACATGATTTATCTTGGCTTCTGGTCTTTAGTGTGTGAGAAAGATGGGAAAGAGAGAGAGAGAGGGACAGGCACTGATTAACACCACCACTGTGGTCACAGTTGGATTCCAACAGGACCATTTTTTTATCCTAAGCCCTTTACATTTTCTGTTTTACTTCTCTTTTAGTATGCCTGGGATACAAATGAGGAATATCTTTTCAAAGCAATGGTCGCTTTCTCCATGAGGAAGGTTCCCAACAGAGAAACAACAGAGTAAGTAAATAGTAAAAAGTCTTAATTGGTTATTTGCAGTGATATTTGAGACATGCATTAATTCAAAATTCTATCTTGAAAATAATTAACCTAATTTTTTGAAAGGATTCACATTGTAACATTTAAAAATTTTGTAATCTGGTTCACCTTGCAGTCTATCCCATGTTCCAACAATGCTCTTTGTTCAGTAGGCAGTATGATGATAAAAATTTGTAGATGTGGTCATGTGTCATAAGCTTGTTCTACATTCCTGTTGTATACATTAGCTTCTCCTGTAGATAGGTAGAAAAAAAGAAGGGAGGGAGGAAGGAAGGAAGGAAGGAAGGAATAAAGGGATGAAGGGAAAGGAAAAAGGAAGGAAAGGAAAGGAGAAAAGAATTCTGCTCTCATTGTATTAGTTTGCTAGGACTGCTGCGGTAACAAAATGCCACACGCCGGTTGGCTTAAGTAACAGACACCTATTACTCACAGTTCCGGAGGCTCCAAGGCCAAGATCGCAGTGCTCAGGCAAGGTAGATGTCTTTCTGAGGCTTTTTCTCTTGCCTTGCGGACACCACTAGAACTGTGCTCTAAAATGACCTCTTCTTTGTTGGGAGAGCATGGAGGGAAGAGAGAGTGAGCTCTCCAGTGTCTCTTCGAATGAGGACACTAATCCCATGAGGACTCCACCCTTATGATGACATTTAACTGTAATTATCTCTTCTTCGGCCCTCTCTCCACGTACAGTTCCGAGAGCGCAGGGTGGGGTGGGGTTAGGGCTTCAACATAGGAATTTGGGGGAGGGGGAACAAGTCAGTCCACAGCACTCATCTTGGAAATACACCTGTATTGGTTCATCCCACTGTTGGCATCTATCATAGTACCTTGGTTATTTTCTTAGAAGCTTTAGTACAAACTTTTCACAGTTTCACATTTTTTTCTGTTCTTCCAGAGGCATGGTCTCTGTTTGGCATGTTTCCTTCTATCTCTGTTTGTGATTCTGGTACCACTTCTGGTTTCTGTCTATTCCCTCTCTCCTTCTTCCCCTTGAGAGGAGAAATGCTGATGATTGGTGAGATGGAAGGAGAAGCTCTCCCTGGGTTCCCTTCTGTGCCCGCAGACAGCAGGCATTATTCTGCGCTACTCCCTACACTAAGTGCAGAATCAGTCCGTGCAGGGGTAGGCCCATGCAGCTGTAAGGCTGGGTGTGCTACGTACAGAGGAGGACGGTTTCTGTTGGTTGGCGCCATAGCATATAGCTGTTCGATATCATGCATATTACTCCGGCATGTGCAATAGATGCCCCAGCTCAGTTCTACCCGGACGCTGTCGATGAATTACCTCCTTTCAGGAGTTTTGTGATTAGGAAGAAAACTCACCTGCCGACTAATGTTATGTCTTCCACCCTGGCCTTTTTAGTATCCTATCTGCTTCATTCTTTTTTTTTTTTTTTAAAGATTTTATTTATTTATTTGACAGAGAGAGAGAGATCACAAGTAGGCAGAGGCAGGCAGAGAGAGAGGAGGAAGCAGGCTCCCCGTGGAGCAGAGAGCCTGATGTGGGGCTCTATCCCAGGACCCTCAGATCATGACCCGAGCCGGAGGCAGAGGCTTTAACCCACTGAGCCACCAAGGCGCCCCTGCTTCATTCTTTTGTCTTAATTCTATAAGGATTCAGAACCTGACAAAGAAGATCACTATTTATCGACCTCCCTCAAACCCACAATATGCGTGGGCTGTGAATATAAAGAATGAAACGGGGTGCCTGGGTGGCTCAGTGGTTTAAGCCTCTGCCTTCAGCTCGGGTCATGATCTCAGGGTCCTGGGATCGAGCCCCACATCAGGCTCTCTGCTCAGCGGGGATCCTGCTTCCCCCTCTCTCTCTGCCTGCCTCTCTGCCTGCTTGTGATCTGTCAAATAAATAAATAAAATCTTAAAAAAAAAAGAATGAAACAAAAGAGTGGCATTTGGGGAAACAAAATAAGCATATGATAGATATGTGTACACACATATATATTTAAAAATAGGTAATATATTCACATGATTCAAAAAATTAAAAGAAGGAGTTACATAGTAAAACGAAATTGTGTCCAAAGTGAATTCTGTTCCTGTTTTAGAGAGTTTTAGAAAAAAATCTGTTTGTGCTTGTCATATGCCTTTTAAACTGCACATTCTTTTTACAACTACATTACAACTTTTCTCATAAAAATTAGGTGATTCAGGGCACCTGGGCAGCTCAGTCCTTAAGCATCTGCCTTCGGCTCAGATCAGGATTCCGGAGTCCTGGGATCCAGGTCCGCATCAGGCTCCCTGTTCAGCAGGAAGCCTGCTTCTCCCTCTCCCACTTCCTCTGCTTCTGTTACCTCTCTCGTTGTGTCTCTGTCAAATAAAGAAATAAAATCTTAAAAAAAAATTAGGTTTTTGCTTTGCAAAAAATTGAAAAGGAAAAATTTAAGGAAAAAAAAAAGCCCTCTTGTCATCTTAGAATGCAGCCCCACCCCCAGATAGTCTCTTTATCTTCTACTCTTCTCATCCCCAGGTTTACACATTGCTCTGTTGGTCATACTGTTTCTTCCTCTGGGTGCCTGCATTGAACCTTGTTAATGACTATGTTAAATCAGATATTTCCATTCTTAGGAAGAGTTAATTTAAACATGTAACATTTTAAATGAATTTTGAGGAATTCACATTCGCATTTTTTTTTTAACTTGGAACATTGTGTATGTTTGTGAGTATCTGATGTTGTTTAATCGGCAGACGTGTTTCACTTGTACATGGTATGGAGAAGGCATCATTGCCAATGCCCATGGAAAGTCAAAAAGTGCAAAACTCCATCAAGGGTCAACGGACGTTTCTGTAAGGCCACAGGCAGGATGAGTGCTA